ATGATGTAATTTCAACTCAAATTTATAATATCATCTTATCACACCACATGTAATCCATCAAAATGTACTCTATGATTGAAATTTATAATTTGCCCATCGGGTTAAGAACTTTCGCCATGGGTATTTAGCCCCTCCGCGAACAAAAGCAGGTCTCCAGGCCTTTAATAATCAATTCTAGAACACGATCAAGGCCTCTCGGTAAACCATGTGTACACGATCAAGATCCCTTCATCCACAGTCCAAGACCTATCAGTGTAGTATAGAACACGGTCAAGGCCCATCAGTGAAGTAGAAGAAATATATAACTATGAGACTTTTCTAGTCGATCTCAATATCACATATGTACCACACACCAAATCATAAATGTACCACATGTAATATTTGAAATTCCACATATATAATAATAAAGATTTCCATAATTTGGTTAGTGTGTCACTGGGTCAGTGGGAGAACCCGTAGGAAGGGGGGACGACTCGCCGAATTCACGAGTCATATCAGAAATTGCAATCATAAAATCGAATAAATAATTGCACATACTTTCATAATATACTTAATTTATAAATACTTTAAAAATATTTAAGTTTTTCCACTAACTGAATTATAGGCTTCAAGCTAATTTAGACATTTTGCTTTCCGAATATTCTCACTACCTCAATCTTGAAAATAAAAATAAAATTGTAACATCCCAAAATTTTCTAGTAAATATTTTTAATATTTTAGGGAGTTTTTTTTTAATTGTAGGGACTTAATTTAATGATAGAATAAATGTTATTAGGGATTGTAATTAAAAATAATATTATGGGGATTGAAAATGCAATTTTATAATTGCATATTTGCCCAAGAGTTAAAGGTACAATTTTATGAACAAAGAAATAATTGCATATATTGTCCAAAGTCTAAAGATATAATTTTAAAATCAAATTAAATAATTGCACGTTATCATAGGGGTTATATGTGCAATTTCATAAATTGCACACTTAATCCCTACCATAAACTATAAATAAAGGATAGTTGTAAAATGTGACCTACCATTCTTCACATCATTTTCACTCCTTAAGGTATGTCTTTTCATTAAGTTAATTATTTTAAATTTTTCTTTAGTTAATTATTTAATTATTTTACGTACTTAATTGGTTTATAAATAGGAATTATAATTTGTTGCTTTAGGGTTTTTTAGTAATTGATAAAAGATAATATTATAGTTAAGTTTAATTAATAAAATCAAGGAAAATAAATTATAATTTTTCAATTTCAAAATCTTGACTTTGGAAATTTTAAAACTTATAAACTAGTTGAAGATATATTGAGTTTTAGTTTACTTAACTTACATTATTAAAGATTGTATAAAATAGTTTTGGGGGAAAATATAGTGAGTAAGAAAGAAGTGAGCAGAGATAGAAAATAACTTGGTATAATAATTGTTAATATCATCATAATAATGGGTATGGAAATTGGGCCACTACTATATTTATATAAGTGGTAAATTCAAATGGGAAGAAAGATAACAATTAGCACTTGAAGCTTAAATTTAAATTACTTTGATCTAGTTATGTGATAAGATGTGAAGAAAAAATGTTATAATGCATAGTATCAATGGTGAGATATGTTGGAAATGTGGTAAAGAAGAATATGGATTGAATAAGAAAATTTACTAATGCGTATGGATGTGTATATAAACTCGTGTTGATTGAAAAGAAATGTGGATCAAGCATGAAATGGAAAAGTAATATGGTAATGTATTGGCTAACTTAAATTGTACATGTAATAATTTTATGGAATTTAGTTAATGACGATAACGAGAATTTCATTTATATTATTAATGTTATTATTATTACTACTATATGACAATAAAGTAGTGTCATTATTTTTATTAGGGGTATGCTATTAAATAACTTATATTATCTTATAAGTTTAGTTGAGATGTAATAATCGGGAAATAATAAGATAAGATGTGATTAATGTATAGATTATTGTGTCAATGCATATATTGATCAAGGAAATCGCGAAAAAGGCAAATATTGATGTTTTTCCAACTACAACGCAAAATACATTAATGTGTTTAAATGTGGTTGTTTCTTTTGCTATGTGACATGGTAGTATGTTACATGTGCATTGAGTTTATTTGGAAAACGTAGGAATAATTACGTTTTCAAGATCATGCATACTTGTGTTGTCATGCTGATTAAGTTACAGTTGAAAATTTTGAATGTGAATCCCATTATAGATATACCGTACTATAGTGTCCGAATAACTGTACCGCTTTGAGGCTCCTGACAGTCATTAAGGGTAGCCAAGAATAGGGTATTGGGAGTTCGATACTTGTATACGGGCAGTACCAGGAGGTCCCTTTGGTGGCCTTGGGACTGCGATAGGCACCTTGAGCACTGTATCTATGTAAGCCAGGCCTTGAATTTGTATATATGATATACTGATGTGGCATCCTGAGTCTTGATGGGCAACGATGGATGCGTTGATATTGGTTAACACGCAGGAAAAAGTCCATGTTATTCTGAGCTCATACGGTACACTATAATAAGAATTTGGGCCCATGTATGTTTGACATGCATCATCATATTTACTGAACTTTATGATTCACGTTCTGTATTTTGTATTGTAGCTGCCACCGCGAGAGACTGAAATTATCCGAACCACCAGACGTGTCGAGATTATTGAGGACCTCAGAGCTATACATGTTATATATAGACATACCCACTATACACGTTTTTATATGGTGATCGACGAGGAAAAAGAGGTCGAAACTTTTGAAGACGGGGAGGATTTTGTAATGATAATTATTGATTTTTATGACTTGGTCACTTCTTGTTATGTAAATACTATAATGTATGTGGAGTAAACAGCAAGTGGCATTGTGTAAAGTAGGAAATTAATGCCTAGTAAAAGAGTGTAGTAAAAATAAAAGAATTTTGCCAAACTTTGATATTTCGCCATATCAGGAATAGATCTATAGGTAACTCTTGAAAAATTTGCACACATTTCTTTTGATCAAAATTTTTTGATAGTCATATGATTAAGGTGTAATGAGGTGTCTTTTAGAACAAAATTCTCTTTTGGTATAATATAAACTTAGCGATTCTTTTAACTCTTTATATTCTAAAATTTGATTTCCTTGATATGTTTTTATTTTACTGCAAAATGTTTGATATGATTTTAATCTAAGGATAAAAATAAATAAATTAGGGAAATTAAGAGTAGTGCGTCTTAGAAATTGTATTAATTCAAATTGGTTATGGATTCCCAAATACTCATCTTACTCGTATTCCTCTATTTCTTATTCTTTATTTCTTTTCTAGTTATTCCTTGTCTAAAGATATATAACATAAACAAGTGGACAGCTTCTATCAAGGCTAACCTGTTTCCTTTATTTCCCTACCAATCAACGAAAACATCTATATATTTTAGCAAGTTTCATATTTGATTTATTGAAACCAAAACCCTTCACAAAGCCTCGTTCGAATTAAAGAGAAGCCTAAAGAGATAAGTCCAAAATTCTTATTTTATGGAACCCAGACAGCCACTTATTCACATAAAAGTCCCCCCATCTAGTCTACCTTGTTCACAATTAAATTCCATAACCCTAATTCAAAATAGTCTACCTTGCTAACTTCAAATTTAAGCAAATTTGCCATAATTCAATTGACATAATTTATACTTCCATCTTGAAAATAAGGAGAATTAATGAATGAAAGTTGGAAGCCAACACTCATTCCTTTCTTTTCCACCCCTATTTTCTTCTTCTTCCTTCTCTCATTCTTTGTTTCGGTTTCTTTCCTCTATGCCTGCTGCTTCTCCCCCAAATGAAAACAAAAGGGAATCCTTATCCTTTACTATAAATGGATAATTATAATATAATTGCAAGTCAAGTCCCCAATCTTCGTATAATGTAACATTTAGTCCATTTACTTCTAATATTAGGAAACTAAATCCATAACTTCCTATTTTATTCTGTTTTCGGTCATTTAAATATTGGTAGTTACAAGTCAAGCCCCATAAAATCATTTGTTTAGCTTAAGTTCTTATTTGACTTTGACTATAAAAGAGTGTAATAGTATATTAGTAAACAAACAAAACATTCTCAATAAAAGAAATTTGATGCTATAATGTGGACAAGAAAATAAAAATAAATTGGATGGAGAGAGTATGATATTTTATGTCACAAGTGTTCACATGCATTCATCTGTGACCATAGAGCTTCAAAGTCCTTGCAATAGAAAGCTTTATGGTATGTGAATTTGAAATTAACTGACAATGAACAATAGTAAGAAAGACAAAGTATAATTTAACCAAACCCGCAAAATCAATGTTTCTGTCTTAAATCAAGTTAATAATATATAATAGTAGATTTAAAATATAATAATTGCTACGCTTAAAGTTCATTTGGCCTTTGATACGAAATAAAGCCCCATTTTTGAATAGTGTATTGATGGGAAATGTATGATCAAAAAATAAGGAAATTTTTTTGATTTACGTATAATATTATTTTATTGAAGAATGTGTGGTTAAAATGATATCAAATCACTGTTGAAAAATATATTTTGATTTAAAAATGGGGCTCAAACAAGGGCAAGATCTAAATTTTAATTTAAATCAAAGTCAATGATGAAATATGGGATCCATAGTTTTTCAGTTACATATTTTATCAACTTTTATCAAAATTGTTAAAAATATAATTTTAATCTCCAAGTCCCAACAATGGCTTAATAATATATATTTTCAAAGTTAATACTATAATATTATAGTGTTTAAATATTTTCAATGTCATAATTTGAATACTTTAATATTTTATGACATTTAAGGTAATCTATGGATGATAATCGTATTACATTATTATTATTATTTCATATTTTTTACTAGTTAAATTTTTATTAAAATAAAATAAATATGAGTATTTTACCTATTTTATTAGCTCTATAGAAAAAAAAAAAGTATTCATATAATTATTAATTCAGAAAAAATAAAAAATCTGTGAAAAATTACAAAAAATGGACAATGCTTGGGTGGAATATCAATTGATACGCTGTGTCATCTTCTCTATCACAATTCACAATTCCCTGCAGATATTTCCTATTTCAGTTCCCGCGCCCCGTCCCCCACACGCAGTCACACAGAATGGCAGCGGCAGTGAATTGCTACCTCTCAGTGACTTCAACAGCCACACCCACATCTCAAGATTCTCCACAGCCAGCAATCACGAGGCCGCCGACCAAGATCATACTGCCCAAGAAAAAGCCTATGAAATGGTCTACAGGGGTGGCTCCGGGTGAGTATGGGGGCCCACCCACCACAACGAAGCTCAGGAAATACTGGGGTGGAGATGAGGACCCTCTTGCCTCTGATGAATACTTGTGGAACAAAGACTTCATGGGTCGAATGAAAAAGTTCATTCAAGACCCCGTCGATGTCGACACTAATTCTGACCCTCGATTCTCATCTGCGAAGGTCCAGTATTTGGCCAATTGATTATTTTTGGTTTGTCATTATCTGGGTTTTTTTGAGTGATTTATATTGTGGGTTTTATTTTTGCTGTTGCTTTTGTATGAGAAATTAGTAAAAATGGGGAATTTTTAGCGCTCATTGAGATTAATTGTTTTGGAATTTGGAACTTGGATAATACTGCTTGTTGAACATTGTATAGGGATGTCTAGTGTCATTTTTTTCCCCTTCTTTTCAGAGAGAATTTCTAGAATGTTCTGCTTGTCTAATTAATTGACTGTTCTACGAAGTACTGCTGATCTAATTTTTTGGTTTCATTCCGAAACTGTTTGTTCTGATTTTACCACAGATTGAATTTTTATTGCTTTTAGTTGATAAATATATTGTCCAGGTATCAGCACTGAATTTGGTAAATTATACTGTTTTGGTATGTTTCTGAACAGGAAGAGCCTTGTGGATTTCTTAGCTTGAACAGAGTGATGAGCTTGGACAGGTACACAACCTTTTATTTTTGGAAATTGTTATTTTATTTTGTCTTGAATTCCTATACTGCTTCCCGTGTAATAGTCCCACTCTTTGAGGATGCAGTTTGGAAATTGACTTGAGCAAAGAGTTAACAGCGACTTCAAGATCTGCGGTTGAACCACGAGTTGAAGAAATTCAAGTGTGACAGATTTTAAGTTCCCTTTGAAAAAATGGTCTGTAAAACTAGTTTGCATTTGTTATTTTCCATACTCATCAGGATTGAAATGATTTGTAGAGTAATAGCATTGCTTCTCGAAAATGGAGACCAGCCCCAACACGACGTGAGCTAGAGAAGTGGGACAGGGCTACTAAAGCTGCAACTGGAGGCAGTGTGTGTAGTTTCATTTTGGACATGCAATTTTCTTCTCATCTTATATGCTTAAACTTCTGTTTGCTTAAAACAAATATATATATATATATATATATTGTATTTTTTAAGAATCCTTTTACGTTAATCCAAGTTTTCTTGTTCTGCAGGAAGTGATGCTTAGGGAATCAAAGCGTCCCAGAGGGGACCCAGAAGTGTTGGCTGCTCAGTCAAGGGAACAGTACTATAAGGTTTTTTGAAGAAAATATTAGCTTCTACATCCTTAAGATCTTTAGTTGGAAGTTCCAATCTCTCCTTTTAATGTTTTTGCAGTTGAAGAATAAATTGCAGTTCCTCACACTGGGCATTGGTGGTGTTGGTGTAATCTCAGCCTATTGTTCTTATTCTCCTGAAATTGCAGCAAGGTAAGCACCTTGCTAGGATGCGTTTCAGAATTTTTGTATGACTACTACTTCAACCTTGTGAAATTAATCTGCATTATATTGATGATTTGTGAATGAGATGGGACGTTTGACATCTGTGAAACTACTACCTTTTGCATTAACCATCCTTTGCAAATGACTTGTTATTTGAAACCTCAGTTCTTTTTATTTTTTTAGTTATTATTATTATTATTATAATTTTTTATTTATATTTTTTGTGGATTGGGCTTCTGTTTACATTTCTGATTGATCACATAATCAGGTGCAGACAAATCCTTCTTATGTTGACACTTACTCGCTGGATCATTTTCCGTATAGCAGTAGTTCATAAAGATATTCTGTCTGCCAGTATGTAATCATAATTCTTTTCTGTTCAGCTATGGTGCTGGATTGCTCGGTTCTTTGGCATACATGCGAATGCTTGGAAAAACCATTGATTCTATGGCAGATGGAGCAAAAGGACTTGTCAAAATAAAAATAAAAATAAATATAAAAATTTGCTTTTCTTGGTAGCAACTAGATGTGTGTAGTTTTAAAGATATTGACATAACTTCATGCTGAACAACTCCAATCTTTCTCAAGTGACATAAAGTCATTTCTCCAAGTTTTAATTTTAGTTTCTGCCATTCCATGTCTCCACCCTTTTGTGCACACGGTGTCTCAACTCAACAGAAAACATTTAGCACTTGTTTGACTCATTAAAATTTTAATACGTTTTTTTCTCTACTTTTTAACTACATATTTTTAATAAAATAGTATTACACGTAAATCAGAAACTTTTTTTTTTTTAACTGCACATTCTTTCAAAAACTACTATTTCAAAATATTTTTATCCAAATTTCTCATTATAATAGTTATTAGATGCTGCTTAAATAGATGAATTTTGCTGAAGTGCTAGAAAATGTCTTGACCTAAGGAATGAATGCCTCTCACGTTGCAGGTCCTATGTCAATAAAAAATGCCGACCTCCTCAGCATGTGTTTGTTCTGTCAAGGCCTCTGTCATGACTTGTCATGACTTTTGTTGCTGTTGCAAGCTTCTAAATAGATAGTGAATGACGCAACGGGCCCATGATAATTATTCGAGGGTATAATTCGACCAAAGTATTTTTTGTCCAATGAGACCCATTAGTCATTTTTCACGTTGGTAACATATTGACATTTTTCCTGTGCATGCACTTTTTTCCTTAACTTATCCACCATTCATTTCTATTTATATATAATTTAAACAGTTTATAAACACTTTTCAAACATGTACGAGTAGCTCAACACTAATGGAAAAAGTCAAAATTCAACAAAAAGGAAGAGATCATTTCAAAATAAAATAGCAAATTCTTAATCTCTGTATTCTTAAACCTTTGATGTTTCCTCACAGAGCATTGTCATATAAAGGTAGGCACCAAATGACCAAAATACAAAAGCTTTAAGATTTTATTTGGGGCAAGCTACTTGGTTAAGTACTTACAGGCAACATTATCGCATCCAACAAACGAGTGCCACGTTTTCATTTCCTTGTAATTTAACTGACACCATATATCTAGCACGGGCAAGATAACCCGACCTTAGCCCGTGTTCTGCATTCCAGCTGCAATACCCTTCATGGTCAAGATAAGCGTGTCTTCCAACCCGGGAGCATACTCACTTTTAGGGTTGAGCTTCACCAGTTCAGCAGCCGGTTTTCTCATATCCATTTCCATTATCTCTTTTGAGAGATGTGGCCTCACCTTTACACGGTAAGTTGGATCACGTATCTGCTTCAACGTGTAGACTTGGCAGACGTTAAGGACGGTGATGTACGGATCCCGAAGTCGGAATCTCTGCCTCGAGTAGGGATTTCCTTCGAGAAGTTCCTTGTGTCCGGCAACCTAAGAAGAGAGGCCATAACAGCTTCCCATTTCAGGATATTTTGCATTACTTCCATTGAATGGAAGTTGAACTAATCATGAACTAGTAGCAACTGAACTTCTTTATCGTTAACCAAAATAAAAAGAACGATGAGCATGCAAAACAAATAAATTAAAATCCACCACGCATTCTCAGCTCAACATTCTTTTTTCACCTTCTATTTCTTGGAAGTTGACAAAAATCAACTAACCGTCAATTTTTTACATACTCGAAAAGTAATTACCATATATTCACAAAGAAAAGCGACATTGAGAAAGTCTTTCCATTTCATCTTTCATTTAGCAGGACACAGTTTTCACACGATAGCGTAAAGCGTGATGGGAAACAACAATAGCATCCACATTAAGGTTGTAGAACAGTTATGTTTTAGTGAATAAAGGTATTAAAATGGAAAGAAGGCCCTTACCTGAAGGATCAGATTCTTAGTTTCTTCATAATTGTTTCCCAGTTGCTTTCCAAATGGCCACAAATCTTCTGACACTAAAAATTTGTCGTACAAAGCAGCAATTTCTGGGTCTCCTTTGGCCAAAACCATTTCAATCAAGTCAATTGTCACTCCGAAGAAAGGCCATCCATTGTACATATCCTTGAGAGTTTGAAGAGTTCTAATATCCTTCCCAATGGCATGCTTGATTGCAGCTCCAAAGCCAAGCCAGACAGGAAGATGAAATCTTGTCTGCGTCCACGCAAATATCCATGGAATGGCTCGAAGTGATTCTATTCCACCGCCAGGCTTTCTTTTTGATGGGCGGCTTCCGATGTTCATCCGACCATACTCTAACTCAGGTGTTGCCTGCAATTCTCAGAAAGAGAGCTAGACAAGAAAATGTTACAAAAGCCCCATTCACCATATGGGTAAGCCAACAATTATCAGTCTTCTTTAGTCAAACTGCCAACTTTGATGCCAACTTATATTTCCACATGTAGAAGTTACCATTCTTCAATCTAAACCTATTAGGTTTACTGTGTTTATATGTGATTTTCTTGCAGATTCTGACCAAAAAATACTATAGTATATAAATACTTACGAGGCGGAAGTACTCAACAAATCTAGGTTCCTGGAAAACCACAGAACGATACTCTTTTGTGGCAAACACAGCCATCTCATCCATGAGAGCACGCCATTCTGGCTTCGGTACAACAGGGGGGCGCATTCCATGCTCAAGTGTAGCTGCAGTAAAACGTTGGAGCGTTCTGAAACATAAGTGCTCCTCGCCAAATGATTGTTCAATAACTTCACCTTGAACAGTGACACGAAGTGAGCCATGAATGGTGTCCGGTGGCTGAGATAATATAGCAAGATGGGTTGGGCCGCCTCCTCTTCCAACCGTCCCACCTCGGCCATGAAACATTGTGAGCTTTACGCCATATTGTTTTGCGACCTTTATAAGCTCCTCCTGGGCCTTATATAACTGCCATGCTGCAGAAAGCCGTCCAGCATCCTTTCCTGAATCCGAATACCCAATCATGACTTCTTGTTTCCCATTAATCCTATTACGATACCAATCTATTGAGAAAAGCCGAGCCACAGCAGCAGGTGCAGCCTCAAGATCATCAAGCTTTTCAAACAATGGGACCACCCTTAGAGGATTTTTGACATGGCACTCGCGTTGTAAAAGCTCTACTGCAAGGACATCAGATGGGGCAGTTGCCATGGAAATTATGTAGGCCCCAAAGTTATCCGACGGGAGTTCAGCAATGACATGAAAGGTTTCTAAGACATCAGCAATTTCTTCGGTTTTGGGAAGATCGGGCCCAAAAAGAGGGCGTTTGCCACTAAGTTCAGATAAAAGCCACTCCTGTCTGCGTTCTTCTGACCATTCTTTGTACGACCCGATCTCCAGGTGCCTTGTAATAGCATCTAGAACATCAGTGTGCCTATCTGACTCTTGCCTTATATCAAGTCTCACGAGTGCAAGCCCAAACGTTGAAACTTGTCGTAAGAAATCAAGAAGGCTTCCATCAGCAATTGGCCGATCACCGCAATCACTGAGTGATCTATAACACAGCTTAAGAGGCTCAAGAAACTGAAGATGAAGAAAATGAATCATCAGTATGCAGAATTACATAAACATTACACAACACAACAGTTCTATTTTCTTGCAACTTTACAATTTTTGGTGTTCATGGATCACAAATAAACTAAAGAAATAAAATGCAAGCTAAATGCATATTCAATGTTTGTTATAAAGGTATACTATTTATATGACAAATCCATCATTAAATTCTTCAGAATTTAATTTCTCTTCTCTAATTGGTTTCTTGTGTACGAGTATCTTCAATTATTTCCGTTCTATTGTCAATATGGCACTGCATCCATCACTACATTCATCAGCACTAGTTCCTCTCAGAAGACATTTCAACAGTATTCCATTAGGATGTTGGTTATTTACCCTCTTCTATCAGAAACTTTCACTCTCAAAAAGCATAAATTCATTTAACATACTTAAATTCTCCATTTGTGAGTAGTTCAAAACAAACCTAGAAGTGAGATGGATCGAACCAATTAATTAATTACTTGCCACTTAAAATAACTGTTGGGCTGTGATGCCATTTGATCCAGTCCAACTGTTAGGCAATGATGAAAAGGCCCAAAATGGATTTAATACTTGGTCCATTAATTATATACCTAGAAGGCCCACTTAACCGAGCTCAATATCCAGCCCACACATCTTAGTCGCTCTTGGACCGTTGGATTGACCCGCTGATCAACGGTTGATGATATTACCTATAAATATCCCCCTTACTCCTTGTTTGGCTCTTGGGATCGTCATTTCTGATTTCTTTCTTTCTCTCTGTCTTCTGGAACCTTCGTGTTCCCTGTCTGTGTGACCCTTCCTTCTTCTCTTTGTGAGATTTCTGGTTGATTATCTTTGTGATAATCGTGTTCTTGTGTGATTCTCCTTTGTGTGAGTAATCGACCGAAGGTAGGCAGTTTGATTTCTTGAGTCCAGTGAAGTGACCTTGGTGTGTTGGGTTGTGAGGGTTTGTGTTTGAGTCTCGGTGCCTCTGTGATGGTAAAATGGACGTGGTCTGAGCCTTCGATTGAGAGATCTAAGCCTTGATGTTGTGATTTAGGGTTTATGATGTAATCTGCGATTTTATGTTTTCATCTATGTTTTTCGGATCCTGTTTGTAATAGTGGTATCAGAGCTTTAGGCGTTCGTTCTTGAGTCTTCGATTGAAGGTTGAACACTGGAAAATTAATTTCTAGGCGTTCGACCGGAGATCGCGAAACCCTAGTTTTGATTTTGTGTCGACCTAGTGGTCTGTGGTGTTGATTCGACTCTGGACTGTGGAATGCGAGGGAGTTTCTGTGATTCCTCGATGTGATCTGTAAAAGAATCATAATACTGAGATCCTGTGGGCTTGTTTTGTACTTGAACCCTAACTGTTTGGAGCTGCCAGGCCTTGAAACTGGAGGAGACTGAATCTGTAGGGGCACGTTTTGTGCCTTGGTGACCTGCAGTGAATCCATCCTTGCTGCAATAATTTTTCTGATTTCAGCTGGTGGTTAAATTGTTTAACCACCCTCGGTTTGCATTTCTTGAACCCTCTATGATTTCACACTCACTAAACACTGCCCTTATGTATATATGCCTCTATGTT